TATTTTTTTTTCTTGTTTTCCTCCTCCAAAAATTAGGTGAGTCTTGTGGTCTGGTGCGTCTTATAGAGCAAAAAATACGGTAATTTATTTCAGAACAACTATATACAGTGGTACCTCGGGTTACATACTCTTCAGGTTACATACGCTTCAGGACTCCGCTAACCCAGAAATAGTGCTTCAGGTTAAGAACTTTGCTTCAGGATGAGAACAAAAATTGTGCTCCGGCGGCGCAGCGGCAGCAGGAGGCCCCATTAGCTAAAGTGGTGCTTCAGGTTAAGAACAGTTTCAGGTTAAGTACGGACCTCCGGAACGAATTAAGTACTTAACCTGAGGTACCACTGTACCTGTAGAATGATTTCGTTGCTTTCATTTGCTGCGTGTGTGTGGTTTTTTTTTTTTTTTTACTGTCCTTCTGCAAAGTGCTGCGGTCAGCAAAAATGGCCTACCCTTCCTCACCTTTTATCCCATCTACAAGCGAGCCAGTGTGGCGTAATGGTTAGAGGGTTGGGCCTAGGACCTAGGAGAGCTGTGTTTGAATCCCCACTCAGCCATGAAGCTCATTGAATGTGGCTCCATCATTCACATCAACCTGGTGTGATGTTTCATCGCAATTCCTAATCTTGCTTGGTCCATTTCCAGCAAAGGAAGGCCTGTGCTGCAGCTGTTCTGCTTCTGAGAAGCTTCCGCTGATTCACCCAGTACTCACCACCCCCTTGGCCAGATACCCCTCTGATGTAGCTCATTGCGGCAGCTCTTATCTTCATTATTTGTCTAGATCTAGATGATCCTGATGTGTGCGTCTGCAAGAGACTGGTGCAGCAGGTGCTGCTATGCAAAGCCATAAGAACAAGGGCCAAACTACACATTGCATTAAATACACAGCTTTTCTTTCCATTCTTTGCACTTAAGATAGCATCCTTCTGCATGGGAGTAGTAGTCGTAAGTGCTGACTACTGAAAGCTTCTGAGAATATCCCTGCCGTTTGGGAAAACTAACCAAAACTTTGATTTCCTGCCATTGCCACGGCTGAAAAATACATTAAAATTATTGGCACTAGATGCAGTTGACAAAGCATAGTTGTACGTATGCGTATCTTCCTTGTGTACAAGTCTTAACTTCTATAGTTATGTTAAAGTGTTGCCTTCTTAGAAGGCATATCCCCTCACACATCACTCCCAAAAGTAAGTAGCAATAAAAATGAGCCATTGTGAACATGGGGAACAGAATTAGGGATTTTTAGGACAGTGGTTCCCAACTTTTTTGGTATGATGACGAACAAGTCCGTGTTTACCTGGTGTGGTGACCCATTGATTTGTTGTCACATAAATTTTGGACCTTAGGTTAGAATCGTAGAGTTGCAAGGGACTTCAAGGGTCTTCTAATCCAGCCGCCTGCAATGCACGGATCCTGCCCACAGCCGTTCCCGGGTAGACTTGGACCAGGTCTTCAGCAGCTGTTGGTTTCATGCATTTTAACTGCACGTTTGGCTGTTTTATAACCATTATTTGAGGCATCCCAAGCAGAAATGTATGTAATGCCCTGGTCCATGTGGAATTCCTTGAAATATTAATGTTAGTTATACAAGTTATTCAGAGGGTGGCATTCAACTGGTGCAGTTTGCGGCCAGTGCAGACAGATTTCCCTCTTCTGCCATCTCACTTCCCCAAATCTCCTCTGGAGGGTTGGAGAGGGAACCCAGAACTGATTAAGGGAGAGGAGTGCAAAGCCTGCCCTTCCCAGCTGAGAGAGCCCCAACCCCACACCTGCTTGCACGAGAGTAGGAGTGGGATCGGGGCTGCGGCCTTGCTTGGCTGCTGTCCTGCTGCCTTCCTCTGGGAGGGTATCTTACGCCTTTCCTCCCAGTCTAGGGGCTCTTTGGTGCTGCTGGCTGGCCCAGCACTCTCCATCAGCCCCTTTCCACAAGGCGTGGATAGTTTGGATTTGATATCCCGCTTTATCACTACCCTAAGGAGTCTCAAAGCGGCTAACATTCTCCTTTCCCTTCCTCCCCCACAACAAACACTCTGTGAGGTGAGTGGGGCTGAGAGACTTCAGAGAAGTGTGACTAGCCCAAGGTCACCCAGCAGCTGCATGTGGAGGAGCGGAGACGCGAACCCGGTTCACCAGATTACGAGACTACCGCTCTTAACCACTACACCACACTGGCTCTCACTGGATAGGGTGTCCTTTCGCCTGTGCCTTGCAGACTTCGCCTGGGAGGGTGGGCTGCGTCTTTCCTCCTGGGGTGAACGAGGAAAGAGACAGCTACCTGCACAGGCGAAGGCAGTCAAACACACCGAGCCTGACAGGTTATGTGCGCTTGGCTGTTGCCACTTGGTCCATCTTTCGGGAGTGGGGGGCAAGCAGACAAGGTAGCTCGCCCACCCCCCATGCCAGCGAAGGCAGAGGCAGCCTGGCCAAGCAGCCCTGAGGCCCCTGCTGGTCACACACAAGCGGCAGGTGCCTCAGGGCTCGCTCAGCTGGGGACAGAAGCCTTTCCGCCCTCCAGCTGAGCAACAGGCTGGGACCAGCTGTATTGGCCGCAGCCCAAGAGGCACTATGGTGAAGGCGCCTCAACTGCCTGCAGCAGTTTCACCTGGCTGGGGCCAGTGCAGCTTTTTTCAACATCTCGGTTTATTGCCAAGCGACAATGTTTGGCTGACGAAACACCGCCATGTTGAAAGCCCAACATCGCCCAGCCCTAAAGTGTACAGTTGCACAAGCCATGTAAGTTATAACAAACTACGAGTATTTTTAATAGTTTCCTTTTCATGTTAAAGGCCATTATGGCACATATCGGTGTGATGTCTGAGCTTACATATTGCAGGGTATGTCAAAGGTAGTCTCGTTATTGATAACATAGCCTGCTTTTCTGTTTCACCTTCATAGCAGTCACTGCTGAAAAACTCTTGCAAAGATACGCACTGCCCAAATGATCGCAACACATAAAGGCTTCATTCAGCAAGCTCAGGATACTCAGTGGTAACGGGAAACCAAAATTTGGATAACCTTGCTTTCGAAAATTTACCTGTGAGGGCCCTACCACATGGCAGTTCAATGAGTTGCTATTTTTGCGCAAAGACAACTTTGCGACGTTGGCTGCAAACGGGTTTTGCGCTCATTCAAAGTTCTCTATTAATGCAAAGACTTCAAATCACCCTGGGCTTAACTGCTGGTCACAGATTGCCACAAGGTGCTCATACAGAGGGTTACTTTGAGTGACTGTTACAGCTCATCCCTGATGAGCGAGTGTGTGTGCAAAAAGAAGAGGTTAAAAATGGGTGTGCCGTTGTACTGTAAGCTAAAGTACATGTGCAGTACTTGGATTAACTTTTGCCTGCTGCCTACTATGTCAGAGAACTAGGAGTAGAACTGCACAGACAAGACAGGTAGGAATATAACCCTTGTTGCTCCAATCCAAGAATACTACACATTCTAGGAATGACACATGTGCCACAAGCTTACCATTAAGGCTGGGTGATAGCTAGTTTTCAACGTCGTAATATACCACCAGCTAAGCATTGTGATATACTGATATATCACGATACCTGAAATAAGAATGGAGCTATATAGAGGCATTGGCTAGCTTCATGGTTTTTGCATAACACACCCACCCCACCATGTTTGCAATATATTGCAAGGTCAAAAATTATGAAACTAATATAACTGATATAATGAATTGGAAAAAAATATTTAAATTGACATTTGTAAAAAAACTAGAAGCATTTTTGTTAGGGATTATAGGACAAGACCTGCCATGAAAAATAAAGAACTTCTTTATGTATGCTACAATGGTGGCAAGAATCTTGATAGCACAAGGATGGAAGAATGAGGAAATCCCAACGAAAGAGCAGTGGCAAGAAAAATTGATGAGTTATGCAGAACTGGCCAAATTGACATATAAACTGAGTGAAAAGGACACCTGTGACTTCAAAGAAGAATGGGAACTTTTTACAAACTATCTAAAAAGACAACAAAATGAACTGGACTCTTTGGCAGGTTTTGAATAAACATTCACAAATTTATTAGTTGAACATATGATAGATAAAGCAAGCACATGTACTGTACAGTTTTGTAACATGCAGAAAACAAGATATGTAAAAAAATCAGGGAGGGGAGCTGAGGTAAGTCCTTTGTGGGGGGGAGAGGGAAGGTTGAGGGGGGAATAAAGGGGGGGGGGAAATAATGTAAATGATTATGAGGATTGACAAATTGTTATGTTGAAATGGGTTAATAAATATATTTTCTAAAAAAATTATGAAACTGATATCATGATATGGACTTCAAACCGGTGTTAGATAATGTATTGATATATCGCCCAGCCCCACATACCACCCAGGCTGCTGGTGAAAGTTTTAACTTTAAAGAAGTTGTTCTGATGTGCCTTTTATATATATTTTAAAAACAAACACCTTTGAACTCTTGGCAACTTTCAGAAAACTTGCTGGGTTAGTCTGATATTGCAGATGCCTCAAATAGCCTTTCTAGCATCCTAATGACTAACACGTTTATTGCAGAATGGATGGTGTGCTTTGGCTTATGTTGTGGGAGTTTGTTGGTAGGAAATGGTTTATGAAACAATACTGAACCAGCTGAGCAGATGAGAGTGCTTTCTTTGTATTCTTGTGTTTCTGACATGGGGAAGATGGGTTCTCTTTCAGGAGGAGGAAGGAGAGGAAGTAAATGAAATGTGGCCTTTAAGTATGTTTGACCAAGCTTCACGTTCCTGCTAATTGCCTCTGGACAGAATGTTCTTCCTCAGCCTTCCCTATATATTTATCTTTCCACCTTTTTGAATGAATCAATAGGCACAAAAAGCCAGGTTGGCAACAGAGACAATCGTTACATCGTGTATCACCGCTTTTGCGTATTTCAATAACAACATTTCTGCAGATCTATACTGCCAAACACTAGCCAATCGTTAAATCTTTTAAATGCATACTTCGCACCTTGTAATTATTACCCCTGAACTTCTCTACCCCTCTTTTAATGTTTTGCAGGTCTGATCTGGCTGGTGGAATTTAAAGAACATTCTCGCGATGGAGGGGGAACAGCAGCAGGAGGTAAATTTTGGGAACAGCAACATCCTGTGTGGAGACCGGGAAATGCTTCACTGGGCATTTTGGTTTAACAAAATTTCTGAGGGGCTGCTGTGCTTGAGCTGCAGAAGCAGAAAACCAAAGCACGCCGAGATCTTTGAGAGGGAAGCTTGTGTTACTGTGGCATTTATTTCTTGCAGGCAGCAACTAACCCGATAAGAAGTTTAACGTATGGTGTTGCTTGCTCTGCAGCCTTCTGCCTTATCCAGGGTAGAAAGGGCAAACCTGTGTCCCTGTAGATGTTAAATTGCAGCTCCCACCAGTCTCAGCCAGCATGGCCAATGGTCAGGGATGATGGGAGCCAGTCCTTCTTTTGGAGATAGATAAGCGACGCTGGTTCTCATATTTCTATAAAATAACCCCTAGTGCATAGCTGTCAAGTGTCCCTTATTTGGCGGGACGGTCCCTTATCCCAGCGCCATGTCCCGCTGCTGTCCCTTATTGATGATGTCCCTTAAATAAGCTACTGAAGGTAATGGGGCCCTTTCTATGGCCAGCTGTCCTTTGTCAACAACAAATTGTTGCTGTTTTTTTGTGTTGAATATATGCTATATGGTAATTTATGGACCTAATAGGTATCTAAAGCCATTTGCACGCAACAAAATGTGTATTTTATCAAAGTAATTGTTGATCCCTTATTTTGGCTGCTGATCCCTTATTTTCGAGGCTGCTGGTCCCTTATTTTCAAATCTGTAAGTTCACAGGCTCCCATTTCTGCCGTATGTAATTTGTGAATCTATGGGTGTGTTGCATTATGGGGAATTTTATTTATTTATTTTTATTTAAAAACCCAACATGTATCATGACTACTTTGTATCTGAAGGCAGCCCTGTTTAGGGAAGTTTCTAATGTTTGCTGTTTTATCATGGTATTAATATTCTGTTGGGAGCCGCCCGGAGTGGCTGGGGAAACCCAGTCTGATGGGGGGGTATAAATAATAAAATTATTATTTATTATTATTATTATTATTATTATTATTATTATTATTATTATTTATTATTATTATTAACACCACTAATACACCCCAGTGAGCAAATATGTGCACTCACCCATTGTCTTCTATGGAGAAAGCAGTATGGGCTTAATTTCTGCCCAGCAAGATAGCAGAGATAGTGTGCTTGTTTTTCTGAGCCCTCACACAAACCCCACAGATGTATCTTGAGCTGCTTGTCACTTGAAATCTCAGCCACATCATCCTAGCATAGATCTCCACAAAGTGAAGTAATTGTGCTACAAGATGCAAAGCAAACTTGCCTTGTAGCCCAGACTGTGTTTTAAGTTTATCAGCTTCTAGCATTTGTTAGAATCGTCGATTTATCTGTGCACAGAACATGCTTTATTCAAGCTCTTCTTTCCACACGGAGCATTCACCCCTTTTCTTAATCCAACACAGATGGCTGCAGAACCAGCGCCTTCACCTGAGGCACAAGGAGATGGGCCGAAGGAAGCTGTGGGCATTGCGTCAAATATTTGTATGTAATAGTTGTGGATAGCAAAGCCATTTTGCCTCCTACGTCTTGTCTTGGTTTAAAGCAGTTAATGGCTGGAGTTTGGGGTGGGTGAGGGTTAAGTCTGGTCTACCTATGCAGTGGCAGAGCTTGGTAGAATGGACTGTACCACTTTAGAATGGACTGCACCATTCCAGTATGTGGAGTGATGATAGTCGTGTTTTGAGCGCTTGTCTCTAGAGGACCAGTGGCAACTAGGAAAGTGGACAGCTGGGACCTTTTCCTTTGATGTTTTTGTTTTTACTTGTTCGGGAGGCATTCAGAAATGAACCTGCAGTGGTACAGTCCAGGCTGCCATCTTGTTGTAATGCATGTGTGGGCGAGATCCTAAGGCACATTGGAATACTTAACTAGCATGGGCACAAGGTCTAAGCCTGAAATCCTAAACACACTTTCTAGGTAGTAAAAAAGGTAAAGGACCCCTGGGCGGTTAAGTCCAGTCAAAGGCGACTATGGGGTTGCGGCGTTCATCTCGCTTTCAGGCCAAGGGAGCTGGCGTTTGCTTTCCGGGTCATGTGGCCAGCATGACTTCTGATGCAATGGGACACTGTGACGGAAACCAGAGCTCATGGAAACGCCGTTTACCTTTCCACCGCAGTGGTACCTATTTATCTACTTGCACTGGTGTGCTTTCGGACTGCTAGGTTGGCAGGAGCTGGGACAGAGCAACGGGAACTCACCCCATCGTGGGGATTCGAACCGCCGACCTTCTGATCGGCAAGCCCAAGAGGCTCAGTGGTTTAGACCGCAGCACCACCCGCCTAAACCCCATTGAGCACCCTGGAAATTGCTTTGGAGAAAGCATGCATAGGATTGTGCTTTAAGTTAATGAGGAGGCAGGGCACCGTGGGCACCACATCTTCTCTGGGTACCGCTCTTCGGAGTATTATCGCCAGCAATGTGTCTGGACCCTATTTTAATTAGATGACTAGCTGAAATATTTTTGCCCTGCCTTTCGATACAAAATTTCATGGTCTACTTAAAACAGTTGAGCTGAGATCTGTAGAGCAATATTTTCAGCTCCAATGGAATCATCAAGCTGCTTATGGAGAACCCAGTATGCTGGGTAGAGAATTACTCTCTTGATGGGATGTTGCTGATTCTGGGCACTTAGGTACCAAGGATGCTAACCACATTAGCATTTCTGAGCTAAATTTATTTCACAGGGTTGTTGTGAGGACAAAATAGGTCTTTGGAGGGAAGGCAGTTATAAAATAATGTGATAAAACAACTACAAATAGTTAATCCATATATTTATTTCAGACATTTGTGTTCTGCCTTTTAGGGCCGTACAGTCCTCTGAAGGCAGTTTACATTCCCCTACCCCCCAAAAAAATAAATATATAATGCCATATTTATAATAGCATTAATGTTATCCTGTGTAGAGATCTTGTAAGAAAACAGACTGTTCCTAAAACAAAGGTTAATGCTGTATAACACATGAATTATAAACTGTGTCGGCGCCAAAGCAGGAAGTATTTTGTGAAAAAATTGCCTCTGCAAAGTTCAGCTCCACCCCCATACCATCCCCAGTTTGATGATGGGGAGCAGGCTGAGAATTATCTTGACAATGCCTGCCTATTCAGAGTCAAGGAAGCAAGCCTCGCCGTCCCTCTGGTATGGCTCGGTGACTTCATGCAGCCAGATCTGATTAGCACTGTGACGGTATTGCTTCTATGAGAAGCTCCTGCTGTGTTTTCGTTTTTAATTGGCACCAGCTCTGGATTGGGGCCAGGCAGGGGGGAACATTGCTGCAAACATGAAGTGAGCAGGGCAAAAAAAGGGCAAGGAAGGTGATGGTTTGGGGATATTTTTCAAACACACACACACTTATCCTGAAACCCTCCCATTTGCCACCAGAATGTTTATGGTCAAAACTTTGACCTGGCCCCATTTAAACATTGTACAGTCGTACCTTGGTTCTCGAACGCCTTGCGACTTGAACGTTTTGGCTCCATTTAAACATTATACAGTCGCACCTTGGTTCTCGAACGCCTTGTGACTCGAACGTTTTGGCTCCATTTAAACATTATACAGTCGTACTTTGGTTCTCAGACGCCTTGTGACTTGAACGTTTTGGCTCCATTTAAACATCATACAGTCGTACCTTGGTTCTCAAACGCCTTGTGACTCAGACGTTTTGGCTCCATTTAAACATTATACAGTCGTACCTTGGTTCTCAAACGCCTTGTGACTCGGACGTTTTGGCTCCCGAATGCCGCAAACCCGGAAGTGAGCGTACCGGTTTGCGAATGTTTTTTTGGAAGCCAAACGTCCGACTGCTGCTTCCACGGCTTCCAATTGAGTACGGGCAGCTCCTGCAGCCCATCGGAAGCCGCGCCTTGGTTTTCGAATGTTTTTGGAAGTCAGACAGGCTTCTGGAACGGATCTCGTTGGAGAACCCAAGGTACGACCGTGGTCGATTCATATCCTTTTCATAGGTATTGCGGCAAAGTGAGAGATGAATACGCAAACTAACCATGAGTTTGTTTATTCAAATTATATGCAGCTGATGCCGATGCGTTGAAAATACTTTTGGAAATGAAGATGAAAAGAAGAAAGCAAAAGCCCAGCCTCCCAAGCACCGTGACGGAACTTTCCACTGAGGAGGGCTCCAAAGTATATGTTGTTGGCACTGCTCACTTCAGTGATAGCAGCAAAAGAGATGTAGTGAAGGTAAATCTTTTTTAAAAAAATTGGGGCCTTAAAAGCTTTTTTCCCTGCCTCTTGGGGCTGGAAGTGCACCTTTGAAACCTTGACTATTTTTGTTAACGCGGAAAAGGATTACAATTTGGGTTGGGAATGTAGCTGCAGTCATGGATAACTTTATATAGAACCAATTTGTGCAGAGGTTCTATCATGTATACTGTAGTCTTCTCCCATATTATTCATCCTGATTATAAACCTGTGAGGAGATAATCTTATCATCCATGTTTTGAACAAAGCTGCAAAGGCCAGGAGTTGGGTAGAATTTATGCAGAGGTGGAGAAATTATGGGGAACGAGGAGGTCAGTTTCCTGTTTTCTCTGCAGAGACCTGATATGGGTAAATTGGCAGGAGGAGGGCACTGAAAAATCTCTTGAATTTGTTTGTTTTTACTGTTTGGCAATATTCTTTCTTTTTCCTGAAATATTTTAAAGTCCTTGAGCTGATAACAGCAAAATACAAAAAAATGTGTAATTAATAAATAAACAAACACATTCTTTCCTGAGAGTTTTTCTCTTTTTAGATGTGAAACCTTATATTCTCCTCCAAAACAGAAATGAAAAACAGTTTTATTTAAAAAATAGTTTGTGGATTGGGACTCTGCTACTACAGTGGTGCCTCGCAAGACGAAAATAATCCGTTCCGCGAGTCTCTTCGTCTAGCGGTTTTTTCGTCTTGCGAAGCAACCCTATTAGCGGATTAGCGCTATTAGCGGTTTAGCAGCTTATCGGCTATTAAAGGCTTAGCGGCTTAGCGGCTAAAAGGCTATTAGCGGCTTAGCGGCTTAGAAAAAGGGGGGGAAGCGGAAAAAATCGCAAGACTCGCAAGACGTTTCCGTCTTGCGAAGCAAGCCCATAGGGAAAATCATCTTGCGAAGCGCATCAAAAAACAGAAAACCCTTTCGTCTAGCGGGTTTTTCGTCTTGCGAGGCATTCGTCTTGCGGGGCACCACTGTATATGCTTGGGAGATTTCTCCCAGGAAAACATCAGTACTGCAAGCATGCAACTGAATCCGTATTTTTCAGACAATACAAGAAGTGCAGCCTGACGTTGTCGTGGTTGAGCTGTGCCAATACAGAGTTTCTATGTTAAAAATGGATGAAAAGACATTGCTAAAGGAAGCCAAAGAAATCAACCTGGAGAAACTTCAGCAAGCTATAAAACAGGTAGGAGTTCTTCAGTGACAAAATCATCTGTCTGTCTGTATGCGAAATTGAAATACCGCTTTCCTAACTTTTTATAATCTGGCGCAGTCAAGGCTTGTATGAACATGCAGTTAATTGCACAGCCATCCCGTTCAGGGCTTTGTTCTATAGGGAGTGTTCTAAAAGCAGGGATATGCAGGAACTAGGTTTTCAGTGGAGCAGAGCTCTACTGTACGTTTATGTAAAACCAAATAACAGGATTAAAGTCCAGTATGATACCCATATGGGATGCGGGTGGCGCTGTGGGTAAAACCTCAGCGCCTAGGACTTGCCGATCGCATGGTCGGCGGTTCGAATCCCCGCTGCGGAGTGTGCTCCCGCTGCTCGGTCCCAGCGCCTGCCAACCTAGCAGTTCGAAAGCACCCCCGGGTGCAAGTAGATAAATAGGGACCGCTTTCTAGCGGGAAGGTAAACGGCGTTTCCGTGTGCGGCTCTGGCTCGCCAGAGCAGCGATGTCACGCTGGCCACGTGACCCGGAAGTGTCTCCGGACAGCGCTGGCCCCCGGCCTCTTGAGTGAGATGGGCGCACAACCCTAGAGTCTGTCAAGACTGGCCCATACGGGAAGGGGTACCTTTACCTTTACCTTTATGATACCCATGCAAAAATCCCATGCAGGTAAACAGCTAGAGGGGGAGGCTAAAGGAGGATGGTGCAACAAAATAAGGTCCTTTGCAACAGCAGAAAATCTTCTCTTAATCAAAAGCCAAATAAAGAGACTCCCTCCCCGTGGCAAGAAATGGCTAGACTTTTATTTGTTTTATACATTCTGAAAGCAAGACTCTAGTCCAGCATGGTACACTGGTATCTGGAACTTCTTGTTGCCTCTTCAATAAGCTTTTCCAAGATGTAAAAATAAATCCCTGAACTGCCACTAATTTCCTGTAGAAGATATGTAAATGATAATATCACAATTGCCATTCTACTTAGTCAATTTATATATTCTGTTGTTTTATTTCAGAAAATCTGTTTCTATTTTAAAATTTGTTTATTTATGTCTAATTTTGCTGCAGGATAACACTTTTCTCTTTAAAAAGTCATAACATTAAAAAAAGCAATTCTTATTTATTTCATTTCTATATTGCATTATATTTTTAAGAAAAATCTCAAAGCAGTTTACAGCATATTAAAACATCAATAAAGCAATTCAGAATCAAACATTTCTGAAGAAAGTCAAACATATACAGTCAAAGCAACATAATTAACAGAAAACTAAAATGTTATCTTAAAGATTTCAAAATAAAACATTACAAAGGAGGTCAACTTAGAAATAAAACATTTAGGTGACTAATTTCGTAAATGCTCAGGGATATTTAGTTTGTAAAGGATGCTGAGAGTTTTTGGGAGACACAGAGCTACAATTCACAGAGTGGTTAACAATCAGTACCTCTTCCCAGGGAACTCTGCATGCAACTGAGAGACATTTAGACGGCCAAAGCAAGCCATCGCGTTCTGTCTTTAGCAAAGGGTTACGTCTTATGTACAGTAGATTACAGAAATCAGATGGATTTGGACAGTCAGGGAAGCTGTAAAATTACAACCGATGTGTGTTGCACATCTTCAACACCATGAAGTATTCTCAGTGCCCTTGGCAAGCAAGACTTCACCTTGCAAATGCTTCTGTCTGTCCCGGGAACATCCATTGCTTGAGAGCAGATCTGTTGGCATTCGGAAAGCTGTCCGCCTAACAGAAAACTACTGCCTAAGTTTGAGCAAGGAGAATGGTTAGCCATTGACTTGTGACTCAGCATGAAAGCAACGGTTTCTCCTTCCTGGATCATTTTTCACAGCATTGCGACATAAACTCTGCCACACAAAAGAAAGCGGGAACACGGGAGTTTCTAGTTTTTCTCCAGGGGTGAGCTAGAATTGTTTTCCGGCATATTTCTCAGTGTGAACCTAAAAGATACTTGGTCCAATGCTTTTATCCAATACAGTCACCTGCTTAATATTCCAAAACACCCTCCACATTCCTTGTGTAAAAGTAGATAATAGATATCTGGCAAAAAGGTCTTCTGTAAATATTAAACTGAAACCAAATGTACATTTTTGGCAACTAAGTAAGGAGGCTGGTACCTAGTGATTATCTGCTTGTGAGGGAGGACACAGTGGGAAGGCTGTTTAGTTGCAGGAGTAGCAAGAACTAATATGACATGAGATTTTCTTGCATCTACAGTGGTACCTTGGTTACATACGCTTCAGGTTACATACGCTTCAGGTTACAGACTCCGCTAATCCAGAAATAGTGCCTCAGGTTAAGAACTTTGCATCAGGATGCGAACAGAAATCGGGCATGGCAGCAGCTGGAGGCCCCATTAGCTAAAGTGGTGCTTCAGGTTAAGAATAGTTTCAGGTTAAGAACAGACCTCCGGAATGAATTAAGTACTTAACCCAAGGTACCACTGTATATACTTCCTCGGCTAGCTGAGTTGACAGGTTTAAAAATAATTTTTAAAACCCTCATCTCTGAAACTATTACGTACATGCTTTAAGTATTTTCTACACTTTCAGTGAAAAGCTTTGTTTGTACTGTGTGTGTGTGTGCTTCTAAATTGTTCAAATGTTGCAATCCCCCCCTTTTTATGCAATAGGTAAATAAGTCTATGCCAGTCTGTTTTAATTGCAAACCTATGCAAGGAATTACCCTTGCTATTTGCATACTTAAATCACTTTCTTCTCTCAGGCAGAGGTGGGTGGGTAGAAATAATAAATATTACGCCGCCAGACGGGTTAATTTAGTGCTATTTTCTACTCTGTTCCTCCACAAGGAAACAAATTAGCAGATGTCTAAAAGGCTTCTTAGCAACGATCCTGTATATATACATGTTGAAATAAGGGGGTTTGTGTTCAGCAATAAATCAGCTCCCAGAGGCGGACTTGGTGTTTTACTCCTTCGCCAGCTGTGTTTCATCACAGCTCTTAATGGCACCGTGCATCTTGTCTTTTCTAGTAATCTGTAAAAGGTTAACTCGTTCTTTTTTAATGGTTCTTCTTATGATAGAATGGAGTCATGTCTGGGTTGATGCAAATGCTGCTACTGAAAGTCTCTGCACATATCACAGAACAGCTGGGAATGGCTCCCGGAGGAGAGTTCAGGGAGGCTTTCAAAGAGGTGAGACTTTTCTTTCTTTCTTCTTTTAAATGTGTGGTTTTTGTGTGCGATTTCGCCCCTGAGCTAAAAAACGCTGATGTGAATTGTGGGAGGCTGCCAATGGCAGAAACCGGTGTGGGTTTCACTTGGGCCAAATTCTTTGTGCTGTATTCTGTCTCTTAAAAACAAATCAAAATCTGGAAAAAATTAATAATTACCGGTTCAAAGAACATCTGGTTTTTAAAATCTGGGCCTCCCATCTACTGTTTTCAGTCTGATTGTCTAACGCTGGCAAAATATAATGAAAGCTGTAATATGAATGGTATCCTTTGCAGCTGCTGAGGGAACTTTAAACATATCAGAAAATTGAGTGTGTGATTCATTTTGTCCCATGTCTTGGCTGCTAGGCTAATAGATTTTTAGATAGCAATTAAGCCAGATACATCTCTCTTTAAGAACAAAAACAAAAAAAGGTGGGAGTGGGAGAAAGTTTGTGTTTTCATAAGGGGAAAACTGGGGGAGGAATTCAACATTGCGCTATTTTGATTGCTTCAATCCCCCCTCTCCTCTTCCTACAATGCTGTTTTGAACCTCCACATTTGGGGGCGCCATGGGGGGTGGGAAAGGAAGGAAGCCCCCTTGAACTAACAGCTGCCCTTCCTCTGGCTTCCATCCTGGAGCCTTTAAATATTTTCAAGTTGGGTGAGCATCTGTGAACAATTCAGTTTTACGTAACAAATTTTGTCTGATTCCCCTTGTCAATAATCGCGCAAATCATCTCATAAATTTGAATTTATTTTTCTTGAGAGAGGTGTTAGAACTATTACCATAATCCTTGGCCAATATTAAAGCATTTTTTTCTCACTGCATATTAAAACATTTTTCTCAATGGATATTGCAGTTGATAATTTTGTTTGTTGGCTCATCTTTATGGATTATAATCTGTATTGTTTATTGGTGCTGTTTCTGCGGGTTTGTCATGGCCTTTAGCTAGAACAATAAACTTATATTGATTGACTGATTGAGTTTGATTTTTTTCATGTGAATTGTCCACACAAATTGCATTTGATTTGTGATAACAGCACTTGCGCTTTCTTAGCCATGCTAGTCTGAGGAGTCTCTTGTATCCAATCAGCTTTGGTAACTTGTAATTATTCAATATAGCTATAAATGCTGCCATGATAAGTTTTAACCCGTAACCACTTATTTATTATTTTTATCACACTTTTTCATGCAAAATGCGGTTAATGACAGTTAGCAATGAAATACATAGCAAAATGGGGACCAGTCAATAAAGTATAAGCAGTAATTAGTGTAAATGATAAGTAACGAGCAAAGAATAATCAAATTAGAGAAGATGAAAATTAGACAACAGCTGTCGACTAGTTAGACATGTTGAGTGGCATTCAACTAAGTTTTGCCCAGGGTAGACCCATTAAAATCCATTAGTTCGTTAATTTCAGTTCATCTGCTATTGAGGAAAACTTAGTAAGATACCACTCACTACGATTAAAATGCAAAACACAACAAATCCACTCAGTAATCTGAACATCTCTTAAGAGACAACTGTTTTACCTGCCAACATCAACAAAGTTTGGGTGCAGCCACAGAGAAGGCCCTGTCATGAATTCTTGCCCAAACGCTCATCTTCCATTGGCAGGACAAGATCTCAACTGGGATTGTAGAGGAAACGTAGTCTCCTTGAGGTAGCCTGCCCCCAAGCCTTCTAGGCTATAACCAGCACTTTGAATTGTGCCGAGAAATGGACAGTGAAAGTGTTGCATCTCAGAGAGGTCTGCAGACTTTGCTACTGCTACTCGTGTCCCTTTTTTCTTCTGCTTTCAACAATTTCTCTAAGAGAAACCAAATCATTTCTGAAAATCAACTTAATAGCCTGATGTAAGCTATGAAACCCTGAAAGAACCTTTGTGCAAGAAGCTTTTGTGCAAGATAGCTAAACTGAAAATGATTTGTTTGTTTATTGTTATTGTTGTTGTTATGTTACACACCCTGTGTAGTGCCTAATCGCTAATGTGCATATTTATCTTGCAGGCTAGTAAAGTACCTTTCTGCAAATTTCATCTTGGGGACAGGCCAATCCCGGTGACCTTCAAGAGGGCCATTGCTGCACTTTCTTTCTGGCAAAAGGTCAAGCTTGCTTGGGGCCTCTGCTTCCTTTCTGACCCAATCAGGTAGGAATGAGTGTGGCAACTCGTGGTTGGGTGCTCAGACTTGAGGCAACCCTGGGGTATATCTCCTGATGGTGCTGGCAAATATTTCTTGTGCCAGTAACAACAAAAGAAAGGGCAACCGTTGGAACAGTAGACTAGAGGCTCTCTGGATATTGTTCGGATTTCAGCTCCTGTCAACAGCAAACTTCCCGTCCAACCCCTTTACACTCAACTGTAGGGACGCAGTTGGCACTGTGGTCTAAATCACTGAGCCTCTTGGGCTTGCCAATCGGAAGGTTGGCCGTTTGAATCCGTGCGACAGGGTGAGCTCCCGTTGCTCTGTCCCAGCTAGCAGTTCGAAAGCACGCCAGTGCAAGTAGATAAATATTTACCACTGTGTCGGGAAGGTAAACGGCATTTCCGTACGCTCTGGCACTCCTCATGGTGTTCCGTTGTGCCAGAAGCAGTTTAGTCATGCTGGCCACATGACCTGGAAAGCTGTCTGCGGACAAACGCCAGCTCCCTTGGCCTGAAAGCGAGATGAGTGCTGTAACCCCATAGTCGCCTTTGACTGGACTTAACCATCCAGGGGTCCTTTACCTTTTTACCTGTAAAAATAATATACCCAACTGGTCACTATTACCTACAGGTGAGGGCTTCCTGCACATACCTTATTTGGAGGTCTGTACTATACAATGCTCCCGTCGTTCGGTCCCAGCGCCTGCCTACCTAGCAGTTCGAAAGCACCTTCGGGTGCAAGTAGATAAAAAAGGACTGCTTACCAGCGGGAAGGTAAACGGCTTTCCGTGTGCTGCGCTGGCTCGCCAGATGCAGCTTGTCACGCTGGCCACGTGACCCGGAAGTGTCTGCGGACAGCGCTGGCCCCCGGCCTCTTGAGTGAGATGAGTGCACAACCCTAGAGTCTGGCAAGACTGGCCCGTACGGGCAGGGGTACCTTTACCTTTACTATACAGTGCAGGAATTTGGTTGGTTGAGACCTTTCCCATCTGTATTGGATTTTTAAATACATTTAATCACCTGTTTTGCCACCCTGGGTTCCTTTGGGAACAAGGGTGGGATGTAAATTTAATACATAAACATTCATCCCGTTGAAATGCAGGCAGCCCCCCCCCCCATTTACATGCATCCAGTATGTTCCCAGCCGTGTATACCAATCACGCTGAAAGCAGAGGTGACCCAGAAACATCACTAAAAGGGAGAAATGGGGGCAGGACATCTGCAGGCTTTTTCCATGGGTTTCAATTACAGTGGTACTTCGGGTTACAAACACTTTGGGTTACAGACTCCGCTAACGCGGAAGTAGTGCCTCGGGTTAAGAACTTTACCTCAGGATGAGAACAGAAATCCTGTGGCGGCAGCGGGAGGCCCCATTAGCTAAAGTGGTACCTCAGGTTAAGAATGGACCTCCGGAACGAATTAAGTTCATAACTAGAGGTACCACTGTATATGCAATTTCACTGATGCATGCAGTGCCTCAGAATGTAAACCCCACCCCCCACCCCTGCACATAAACGGGGGTGCCTGTGTAAAAACGCCTGATAAAAGGACACGATCCTACAAGCTGCTCTTTATTTAAGTGCTCTTAAGCTATGCCAAGGGACGTGGGTGGCACTGTGGGTTAAACCACAGAGCCTAGGGCTTGCCGATCAGAAGGTTGGCGGTACGAATCACTGTGATGGGGTGAGCTCCCATTGTTCTGTCCCAGCTCCTGCCAACCTAGCAGTTGGAAAGCATGTCAAAGTGCAAGTAGATAAATAGGTGCCGCTCTGGTGGGGAGGTAAACAGCGTTTTCGTGCGCTGCTCTGGTTCGATAGAAGCGGCTTAGTCATGCTGGCCACATGACCCGGAAGCTGTACGCCAGCTCCCTCAGCCAATAAAGTGAGATGAGCGCCGCAACCCCAGAGTCGGTCACGACTGGACCTAATGGTCAGGAGTCCCTTTATCTTTAAGCTATGCCAAATAGCTCTTAGGGTCAGTGAGTGTTCGGTACCTTCTGTACCGCACATCAAGCAATTGTGTGGTGAAAGGGGGTGCACTTTGAGCCCCGCCCCTGATTCCTGTAAACGACGTGCTGTTGTCTGTGAGTTCACATGTAAAGGGTCAGTATGATCAGGGTGCCTGGTTGTGTGGATGCCCCAAGTTTACAGAGCTCACACATGTGACTGAGCCGTAGCTACGGTGTCGGGGGGGTACTAGTCGGGGGTTTTGTCCCAGGTGAAGTTTCCAGAGGGGTGCCATTGAGGCTCCCAGCCTCTGTGTGTGTGTGTGTGTGTGTGTGTGTGTGTGTGTACGCAAAGACGTGGGAAGTGAATTAAAGCCTAGTTTAGACCCAGGTGAATTAAAGTCTAGTTTTGCCCCTGCGTATGAGCAACAGTTCATATGCTGAGTTGTCTTTACAGCTAGCTGTACACAATGCACAGTCCTAAACAGCCTCGGTCCAATATACCTGAAAGAGCATCTCCATGCCCATCATTCTGCCCGGACACTGAGGTCCAGTGCCGAGGGCCTTCTGGCGGTTCCCTCGCTGCGAGAAGCCAAGTTACAGGGAACCAGGCAGAGGGCCTTCTCGGTAGTGGCGCCTGCCCTGTGGAACACCCTCCCACCAGTTGTCAAAGAGAAAAATAACTACCAAACTTTTAGAAGACATCTAAAGGCAGCCCTGTTTAGGGAAGCTTTTAACGTTTAATAGGTTATTGTATTTTTGTGTTTTGTTGGAAGCCGCCCAGAGTGGCTGGGGGGGCAGCCAGATGGGTGGGGTGTAAATTAATAATAATAATAATAATAATAATAATAATAATAATAATAATAATAATAGGAATTGAACGCAATTGGTGGGGCTGAAAGCATAGGCCCACTCCCCAGTCATCATGCCATCGCCCTACGAGGGAGTAGCATGTAACTAGGGCTTTGTTTACACTGTGCTGGTAGTTAGTGAATTATTTGATACATTCATGCATGGCTACAGAGCTTTTTTCTAATACAAGTGCTTCTATCGTGGCAATTTTCAGGTTATTTTTATCCATCACAGCAACAGCAGTGAGATGTCCTTTTACCATAAGCAGTTCTTTGCATGTTTACATTTCGGTGTGATGTAGACGCTTCAGTGCCTTGCGGCGCTATTTTTCTGCTGCCATGTATAAAAAATTGCATTATATGCAGTAGTAGGTTTCTACCATTTGTAGCCGTCGTACGCCCAAGTGGATCTCATTGTCTGCAATAGAATGAGCAATGTGTTTGGTAAGAAGGGCTGTTTGAGAAATATAGCAGGCACTACAGAGCTGTGAAAAAAAGAAAAGACTGAGAGAGAAAAGGAGCTGTAGTCGCGTTGCATATTTAAACTGTGTATTAGCATCATTTATATGCAAGAACATTGCAAGGGTTCTGTAGCTCAGTATAAGACAACTTCATATTTCTTGTAGACACAAGAACACATCAGGTGCACAAAATGGAGGAGAGAATCCTTGGATGGGTTTTCCTCCCAGTAGGGAGGACTGTGCAATTTAAGTGGCCTTTACCCTAGTGCTGGGTGGGTGACCCCCCAGTTCCTTCTTGCCTAGCTTCCCCCCTGTGCAAATGGGGGCTGCCTTTGGTTTATGCTAGGAAAGCCCTTCAGTTGTTAAGTTGTGGCCTGCAGGGAGATTGATGGAGAGAATGCACTATTTCCACAATACAGGCAGTGACTGTTTTAGCTGCATCCAATTGACACGCGATCGCTGGCGCATGGGTCCTTTACCACCCAGAAGAGGGCGTAATGGGGCTGTGCATGTTTATATGCACTCTGGCAACATGGGGGGGGGATGGAGCCCCCACAAGAAATTGCCTCTGCTTGTAATATAGTTGTACTGCTTTTCCTCCCCTACATTTGAAGGCAAAAGTGTACCTGTTTCATTTTTTTTTTTAATTTTTATTAGTTTTACAAAATTTTAAAAACAAACAAACACTTAAAAAGACATACAAACACGTATAATTTCATGATGTTTTTCATAAACCTCTTTTCTGAGACTCCCCCATACCCCCCCTTTCTGCATCCCAATGTCCATAGTTTTATAGCAACTCCCAGTTGTTACTTTCCAACCTCTGTCCTTAGTTATCTCTATAATCTGACCTTATATCACTGTATCCCTTTGTTCCTGAAAACCATAACACTCTAACATTCATCAAGTTTATAATAGTCCTTAAGATAACTTTTAAATTTTCTCCATTCTTCTTCCACCGCCTCTTTTCCTTGGTCACGGATTCTGCCTGTCATCTCGGCCAGTGTCATATAGGGTCATCACTTTCATCTGCATTCTTCAGAGTGGGTAGATCTTGTGTCTTCCAATACTTTGCGATAAGTATTCTTGCTGCTGTTGTAGCATACATAAAAAAAGTTCTATCCCTCTTTGACACAATTGGCCGACAATAGCCCAGAGAAAGGCCTCTGGTTTTTAAGGAAGTACTTTAAGTACCTTTTCATTTCATTATAGATCATTCCCAGAAAGCCTTTAATCTTCGGGCATGTCCACCAAAGGTGATAGAAGGTACCTTCAGTCTCTTTACATTTCCAACATTTGTTATCGGGCAAATGGTTAAATTTTCGCAGCTTGACTGGGGTCATGTACCACCTGTAAATCATTTTCATTATGTTTTCTCTTTAAGGCATTACATTAAAAGTTACTGTTTCAGGCTGTTGCTGGAGCAAACAGGTAGCTTTGCGTCCTTCAGAAACGTTGCATTTAGAGAAAATAAACACATCCAAAAAGAGACTGCAGTCCAAAAGATATTCCATAGGGCTTACCAGGAACCTAATAAGAACAGAAGGAGTTGGAATACTCCCCAAGTGGGAGATACCGTAGCTGCTTCTGGAACTGCATGGCAGTGAATTACTAACACAAGACGTATTGTTTTACATCTACTAGGCAAGGAAGGCCAGGGTTGATCAACTTGTGACCCATTATTGTACGTTTTGACCTTTGTATACAGTTTCAAGTGGCGCTCCACTTTAAGATACTTAGTAGTAGTCAGAAATACAGGTGTAGTCTGTGTCTTAACAGTTGGTCAGTTGAGAGCAATGGGTAGTGGGTGGGAATAAGCAATACTGCAGTTCTTTTATCTCTCAGTGGAGAGTAAACCCCACTGAACTCATTGGGACTTACGTCCGAGTAGACATGCATAGGGTTGCATTGCAAAATATGTCATTTAGGTAAGATAACCCAAAACTGCTTACATAAAAAATAATCCTGGGTTTGCCTGATTCTGCTCTGAACCTCGGAGTATGGAAGAATGTTTAAAATAGGGTGCATGGTTGCTTTGCTATCTGCTATGTGGGTAGCCCGAATAATAATGTTACAGCTGTGTACCTTTGGATCTTATCCAAAAACTTAAAAAAAATCAAAATAGCAAGATCCTGCAGAAAATATTCCCCCTGTCTTGAACACAGAAAATGCATCATGGTGTGAATTTTGCTCGAAAAGGTGCAGAACAGAAGTTCTATCTCTGGCTGTTTTGTACACTTAGGTGATGAACATTAATGTGTGCAAGTGTCTGTCTCATTTCTGGCTGCAGATTTAATTATTATTTATTGTACTGGTTACCCCACCCACCCCACCATAATTTTCCAGGATTGGGTTACTCCTAGGAAAAGAGAATACAACAAAACGGATAAAAAAACCCACACGCCACAATACTATACAATATGGATCAACTAAACCAGGGGTCTGCAACCCGCGGCTCCAGAGCCGCATGTGGCTCTTTTACACCTTTGCCGTGGCTCCGGGGCGGATACTAGCGAGGGGAGGAGGCGCATTGTGCGCCCCGACACTCCCCACTGTGGCGGGCGCTGTACTGGCTGTGACATCGCATGGGGGCGGTGTGTGCGTTAGTCACGCACCGTCCCGACGTCACCTTCCGCTGTCAGATCGCGGCTCCGGAGATATATTTGTTTTAAATGTCGCAATGGTTTTGCGGCTCCCAGTTTCCCCCCCCCCTTCGGAAACGGGTTCCAAGTGGCTCTTTTTGTCTTAAAGGTTGCAGACCCCTGAACTAAACCAAATGGGGTTTTTTTGGTGGGGGGAGTCTAACAATAAAAGTTCAACTATCACAGGAGTAGAGGTGCATTTTTTAGACATGGTTTAGTGCTTTAAGACTTAGCTATTGTAAAATGTATTGTTTTCTAATAAAGATCAAGAGCCGCATGTTCAGAAATAATCAAACTGGGAATATGCTTAGAAGCTATCCCCTAGTAGTAAGTTGGACCGGAATGTTACAGCTGGTGCTGGAACAATTGTTATCAAGTGAAGTCTAACTGACAAGCTAAAATGTGCACTTTGTGCTCCTGGTGTTGTGTTTCGGCAGCATCAAGGCAGAAGCGCAACACAGTTATAACATCAGAGCAAGGCTGAAGCTCTCTCTCTCTCTCCAAGGAATTAACATGTTATAATTAGAATGAGGTTTATATGCTTTTACACATCCATACCTCCCACTCACTACTTGAGTGTGAAAGGGGTAACAACCGGTTTGATTTTTCTTTCCACTGCACTTGCAGCGCAGATGCCTGCCAATTTGTTTTTGTTTGTTTTTTCAGAAATGAAAATTGATTCCTTGGGAAGAAAGAGTTCTGTGCCAAATTCTAAACTGAATTTTTATGCAGTGCTTTTTAATTGTGTGTGTGTTGCTGTTGTTGCTGCTGCTACTGCTATATCTCTTTGTGAGCTGTCTTTTCTGCAGAAAAAGCAGAATTCCGTTCTTATTGCTGACCCCATTCTGAGGTTAAGTAGCACTTTCTTTCCTGCAACTTACACGTCCTGGTTCTGTTCCAAGCGTGCTTGTAGGTTCGTTGAGGGTGGGTTCAAGTAACCAACTTTGTGCCCACACTCCCCAGTACCTTCAGAGTGGAAGTCACTTGGGAGTTTTCCATGGGAATCTAACATACCAATCTGCTCTGCAGTTATTTCACTTGCAATAAACCCGGGAAATCCAACTTGCTGAAAGGCTAGTAGCTATACCAGACTGTACCCTTACCTTCTACATTAGTAGCTAGCCTGTTGAGACAGGCAGTAATAACAGGTTACACTTTCGGCTTTTTCTGCAAGAAATAGTAAGTTGAAAGAGTGAAGAAATCCCTCCTTGTACTTGCCTTGACCCATCCGGATTTTTTTTAAAACAAACAATTTTGGGCATCATTGAGGCTCAAAGGTTCGGTTTATTATTCTTTCTCCTTTTGCTTTCGTTCATCACTGAGAGCATAATGTAGACGTCGAAACTGTTTGTTTCAGTAAAGATGATGTGGAGAAGTGTAAACAAAAGGATCTGCTGGAGCAAATGATGGCTGAGATGATTGGCGAGTTTCCTGATCTTCATCGGACAATCGTCTCAGAAAGAGATATTTACTTGACTTACATGTTGAAGCAAGCTGCAAAGCAAACAGAACTACCTCGTGCATCTGAAGGTCAGTTAACATTTATGACTAGAAATTGCACTCTTCCAGCGGTGCGGTTCTTCAACTATGCTGCCTCTCAGGAAATCTAGGCACATATTTGTAGATTAATGTGCAACATAGGGATTAATTCTGTTAGCCAACTAGCCAAGAGAGTGTTACCACTCTGCCTGGTTGCTAAGTTTTTTCTTCACTGAGGTAGCAAATGCTCTACAGTGGTACCTCGGGTTACATACGCTTCAGGTTACATACGCTTCAGGTTACAGACTCCGCTAACCCAGCAATAGTACCTCAGGTTAAGAACTTTGCTTCAGGATGAGAACAGAAATCGTGCGGCAGCAGCGGGAGGCCCCATTAGCTAAAGTGGTGCTTCAGGTTAAGAACAGTTTCAGGTTAAGAACAGACCTCCGGAACGAATTAAGTATGTAACCAGAGGTACCACTGTAAATGGCTGTGAAGATTTGAAGGAATTTTCCTCTGTATGCTTCATTTCCCTGCTGTGTTCAAGGCTTGAACTAAGACAAAAGCTCCCTGTTCCTTTCCCCTCAAATTATACACAGTTTTGTTCAGTTTCCTCAGCCAAGACTTTTCTCTCTGGACTTCATAATTTTAGTGACTTTGCCAACATAGCAAGACATGTGAATGGGCCCAATATTGCAGCCTATCTGCAAAATGGGAATTAAAAGTATTCTGATTTGCAGGATTATTGAAATGAGAGAGGTGACACTATCCATTTAGTAATTCTATGTACCGTATTTTTCGCCCTATAGGACGCACTTTTCCCCCTCCAAAAATGAAGGGGAAATCTGGGTGTGTCCTATGGGGCGAATGCAGGCTTTCGCTGAAGCTTGGAGAGCGAGAGGGGTCGGTGCGCACTGACCCCTCTCGCTCTCCAGGCTTCGGGAACACATCCGCAGCCTAGGCAGCCCTGCGGGAGGTCCCCACAGGGCTCCCCATGCTGCGGATAGCAGTCTGCCGCCGCGCGAGGGGCGCTCTGCTTCAGGGCGCCCCTCGGGCCAGGCAAGACATCCGCAGCGTGTTGGAGCCCTGCAGGAGTTCCCCGCAGGGCTCCCTACGCTGCGGATAGCAGCCTGCTGCCCGGCGCGCGGAGTGCCCTGAAGCAGAGAGCCCCGCGTGCCGGACAGACATCGGCCAGCCCCACAAGCTTGGGGGACAGCAGGGAGGCGCAGCGCCGCCATCCCGCTGTTCCTCGACCTGGTTCGGTTTCCCCTGCCTGGTTTGGGGGGGCAATAAAGGGGAAAAAAAATCCTTTCTTTCCCCCCCAAAAAACTAGGTGCGTCCTATGGGACGGAGCATCCTATGGGACGAAAAATACTGTACCTTTTATAAAGGGGTCATACGTTTTTAGATAATGTTCCTGTTAGAAGAACTGGCCAAATTAGTATTCAGCTTCCTGCAGCCAATCGGAAGCCATGCCTTGGTTTCCAAACATTTTGGAAGTCAAATGGACTTCCGGAACGGATTCCGTTTGACTTCCGAGGTACCACTGTATCCCTTTGTTTCTGTTTGAGAGCTGTGGCTGAAGAGAATCCAAAACATAGTGGTAATAAATAGAATAAACACATTGAACATGAACTTTTTGTTTATGTTTCTTCTGCTGTCTCAGCTGAACCCAGAAGATGCGTCCCGTCCATTGTAGTTGGGGTGGTTGGAATGGGCCACGTGCCTGGGATCGAAAAGAACTGGAATACAGACTTGAACATCCAGGAAATAATGAGGTAATTCTCTCTCTGGTAGGTTTGGTCATTTTCCTTATATGTTATGATTTCTGCAGTTAGCCTGGGGGCAGGAGGTAAATAAAAGGCAGTGAATAGGTATAGTGGCAGACTGCTAATGACACTAAAGGTGAAACAGGATGAACTCCCAGAAATGTTAAAATGCTAAAATTTCCTTGGTTAGGCAGGAAGTATCTCCTGAGAAATGAGTATTTGGGAGAAAGCTTTTTGTGCAGTTTTCCCTATGGAACAAATGACAGAAAACAAAGATTAAGTAGCTCTGCATTTTGGGTTTCTGTTTTATCTACGCAGTACCGAGGCCTGAGATACAGATTGTTTCCTGTGATCTAAAGGTTGAGATTTGATGCTCTGTATAAATAAAACGGGAAGAGAGCACCCAATTTGTTTTTTTTAAAGGGTCTCTGGGGTGAATATTTCAATGAAAATAATTAAAAGTCCATCATAAAAATTAATGTTCCTATTACAAAATTATAAACCTGGAAACTACCACAAGTAGATATAATGGTAACATTCAGACATTATGCTGAGTCACTATTGAGAGTGATGGGAAGAAGCCAAACAAACTGCAACCTGTAACCAAGATTACATCTTGACTTGTCGCTTGTGGTTCATTTGGGGGAGACGAACAACAAGACTCAGTTCATATGTAACCATAAGCCAAACCACGGCTTAGCCACCAGTAGCAAAGCAGAGAAGTTTTTACTCTATGCACCAGCCTGCTTGCCCATTCATACTTAACCATCGTTTGGCTTGGAGTTACCGTATTTTTCGCTCTATAGGACGCACCCGCCCATAGGACTCACCTTGTTTTAGAGGGGGAGAACAAGAGGGGGAAAAATCTCCCCCTCTCTGCTCAGCGCCCTTTCAGCGAAGCCGCAGGAGAAACGGAGCCCCTTCCATTTCTCCTCCCGCTTGGCTGAAGGGGCGCTGCGCAGCTCTCCCTCTCTGCTGAAGCCAGGAGAGTCTTGCTCTCCCGGCTTCAGCAAAAGGAGCCCGAAGCCTCCAGAGCGCAGCAGGACCTCCCACAAGACTCTCCTGGCTTCAGCGAAAGGAACCTGAAGCCTCTGGAGTGCGGCGGGAACTTGTGCTGCGCTCCGAAGGCTTCAGGCGGCTATCCCTGAAGCCTGGAGAGCGAGAAGGATCGGTTCGCACTGACCCCTCTCGCTCTCCAGGCTTCAGCGAAAGCAACGCGAAGCCTCCAGAGCGTGGAGGGAGCGCTCCCTCTGCGCTTCGGAGGCTTCGCGTTGCTATCGCTGAAGCCAAGGAGCCTGCATTCGCTCCATAGGATGCACACTCATTTCCCCTTAATTTTTGGAGGGGAAAAAGTGCGTCCTATAAAGCGAAAAATACGGTACATGTGAACGAGGCCATTTTGGCGTCAAATAAAGGCTTCCACTTCCGTTTTTCCTTAAACGCAGCTTGTCATATTATCAGAACCACTAAACTGTAGCTTAACATTAGCCATGCTTTGTTTGAAACAAACCAACTTCAAGTCATGGATTATATTATAAGAACATAATAAGATCAGCCAAAACAGTTGCCTGGCCCTGGTGCAAGAAAAATCCATCTGTGATTTCCTCTCCAAGATGCATGAATCAATTAATTTTACGGAATCGTTTTTATATATTGCAAGACTCATTGTAAAATGAAAAGAATTTCAAAAATCAAATCCATAATAGTATAAATAAACGTAAGATGTATGTAACAAATACTGCTGATGTGGACTGTTAGCTCATGGCCTGATCTGTGAAAGATTATTTTCATTTAAAGCAATTGATAATGTTTCAATTGTATCATGCATGCTGCTACCCAAAAGATAAGTGGCCAGAATAGGGCAAAATGGCCCGTGGTGGTGGTTTTGTGTGTGTGTGTAAGCTCATTAGCTATTACATTGGCACAATTAAACAAAACACACAATATTCCTGCATAATGCATACTGGATTCCCACCCAAGTAATAAAGGTAACAGCAGACATTTTAGTGTTATAGGCAAGTAGTGTTTAGTATTAATTATTTGAACATAGGTGGATGGTAAGTCTCTCCTCCCCCCTTCTCCTTTTTCCAGTGTGCCGCCTCCATCAACCTCAAGTAAAATCCTCAAGTTTGTTATAAAGGCCACAGTATTTGGACTAGTGGGCTACGGCTGCTATAGGATGGGACAAAGGACAGTTCGGTTTATTCTCTCCATGCCCGTTGCACAGAACTATCTTCAGAAACTGGCAGATGTCAAGCCTCAGCACTGAATTGGAAGAAGATTCTGCAAGTAGCTGGGGCAAGATCTAACATACGTAAAACTAGGTTGGAAAGGAGTGACTTGTCAAATTTAACCAAATTCTGTCCAGAGGTCTCATTTGATGCTGAGCCTGGAGCATAACCAGTGGATCAGTACTAAACGCCACACCAGCTGCGACCTAAGCATTTGCCCACAAACCTGGTGAAATGGGCAGCATAAAATGACATGCCAGTATAGGGTACCTAAAGTATGTACACATATATATCATACTATTTATGTGTATATAGTGCATTTATAAAGATGGTGATATAATGGATCAACAACATAGAATCTAGTATCCTTGGACACAATTCACTGGAAACTTCCGTTATGCAAGCACCTTTGAAACGAATGAGACTGTACAAGGATGCAACTGTTCATTTAACTGAAGCTGGCACAGGAGAACTTGCTGGTGCATTGTGTCCCACGATCTGTTTTCTCCCCCAGAGGAACAGAACAAACCATAGGCTAGTTGTGTTCCTATTAGAAAGCACAGTGGCCCATTAAGTATGTGTGCGTTCGGTACAGGTAAATAAATACCAGGCTATCCTTCCTGGTGCCAAGCACCTATAAGATGACTTACAAGGACCTCTTATTACTGGAAAACTTTTATACTTAGTGGCTTTTTTTAAAAGAAGACAAACTGCTAAAAAGCTTTTGAAATATCAGAAACGTGCTGGCTGCTATCGATGAAACCTCTACATATCTTTTACAAGCCTTACTTTTTTTAGAAGAAAAAGTTGCCTTCAGCATTGTATCCCGCCAAAACGGATCACTTTAAAACCCCAATGGAAAGCTCACAAGTTCCATTCAAGAGTCCTTATGTTTGGTTAGCCCAACCTGACGCCCTCCAGATGTCTTTAAATTCAGAATCATCTGGGGAAAGTCGGGGAAGGACAAGCAAGATCGTGCTTTGTCGTTTGGAGGCTTTCCCAAGGTTTTCTCTGTCTCAAATGAAGCATTGCAATATGTCTTCTTTTCTCTCTCTCCTTAAGTTGTTGTTGGGTAACTTCCTATGTTTACAAGACACACAGTTCCTCCTAGGTTAGATTAATGTCACTGATAATTAGTAAACCAAATCCTTGTCAGGATAAATTTCACTACTGCAAAATTATTGAGACTCTTATCCCTCCTACTAATGACTTTTCACTTCTCCTTTTGGGGGAAAACAAATCTGGAACTGTTGTGTATGTTCGTATTTACCCATTTACCCTCCCTCGGATGCCATGTAAGCTATTTATCACAATTCCAGTGGAATGTAATAAAATGCTGATTTAAAAGAAAAAATCAGTGGAATGTTGTTTTAACAGATTTCAATCAGTATTTTTTGAAACTACCTAGGTTTTGTTTGTGTAGCTTTTATGCGTCCTTTTCAACAATTCTACTTTTTTAACATACACATTTTTTTAAAGAAACATTTTGTCATGTACGTTTTGTAGACATTTATATGCCCTTAAGATTGCCTTGGAGTGCATATTGCTTGTTGCCATCTCAACAGAATATTAATCGTAAAAATGCGGTTGTTAATCTATCCCGTGGAAAGCCTTTTGCCTTTTATGCAATTGTCCATTGGCTGGAGTAAAGACAATTTCTGACTTCAGTCTTCCCTGCTCCCTCTTTTTTAGAGAAGGTGGCATTTGAGGAGCAGAAACTAAACGCTGACATAGTCCACAACCTGACTGCATATTTAGCAAAGCAAACGTTTCCAGATTAATACCATTACAGCCTGTCTTTCAAAATGCTCTTTTGCAAGTTTCCATTCACTGGACATAATGCAGCACAGATAAGTGCACTTAGGTCCAGTTGCGGGGAAGGGGAGATAAACAGGAAATATGCACAATTAGCTGGGTAATGATTGTGCCTGGGTTTAGTTCTTGCTTCTTACCAAAAGGAGGCTATAGTCTTCTTCTTCTTTGGTATTTTTGCTGATGATATGATGCTGGTGGGGAATTCTACATCTTTTGATGAGACTTATGATGGATTCCAAAGTTTTATTTAACTAAATTCAAGCGATAGATTTACAGGGCCTAACAGATTGTATTCCCCAACATCACTGAAAACAAATATCCCTAAATAAAAATTGATGCTGCTTTTTTTGTTTTTGCTTCATGTATTGCAATTAAATCTTGCAAAAAAAATATAAATGGTGGTGCTTGCCTGTTAATAGCACTTGAGACAATTTGCTCTGGAACCGCAACAGTTAAGTATATTGATACAATTAATTGGTTTGAGTTGGGATACTCTTCCACACACCCTCCGTAGGCAAACCTCTTGAATACCTTATCCGCAAGAAAGTGGAAATTTGTTAAATGATGGGAGGAAGGTGCACAGGTTGATTTTTACAGGTACAGCTCAACACAAGATGCAAGAGAGAAAGGTTTGTGTCATTGGTCTTTGCCACTTATACTGCTTTCCTGATAACTGTTTGGAAGAAAAAGGAGTGAGCTGGAAAGTACCATGTTATAAGCAACTTTTCAACAATTGAAATGATTATTTTTATTTTGATGGTTTCTCCTTTACCTTTTAAAGGTTTCCAATGATATTTTTTTTTGTTAGTTATCATACCTCTTGGGAATATGTTAGATAATCAGCTGAATGAGCTATTAAATTACCTTTTACATCTTACCAAATATGTTGGATCTCTTTATTGTGTTCCTCCAGTCCCATTTTGTAGGTTAACTGTATTATGTTTACTTTAAAGTATTCATACTCAGGTAAATTTCACAAGAGTTACAAAAAACAAGATGAATGGCAAGAGTCAGCCTTAAGCTTGAATGGACTAATGTTAAACAATGGACTTGAGGCATACTGTATTCTATGTATTTCCATATGCCAAAAAGAGAGAAATAGAATAAAAGGTCTACCCGTCAGCTAGCACTTCATATTTACCAATTCAGTGTGTGTGTGTTCTTTCAAGAGTGTATGAAATGAGAATATGCTATTCCATGTCCCAAAGACTTCTGCACAATGCAACTGAATGGGGCTACCAGTATTTGATACATACTGAATGCCTCTTAGTGCTTGACCTAACTGAAAATGCCTGATTTAAATATGCCCCATGGATGCTGAATAAAGATGATTCATAGAATTTTTTTTTTACTTCCTGAAAAATGCAAAACCAACTTGTAATAAAAAGTGAATTATCAAGTCGCTTGTTTTTACTGTGGCGATACAGCATATTCTATAAGCCTATTTCAAACATAGCTATAGTGTAATGCAGGGGTTGCCAACTTTTTTGGGCTAGTGGGCACGTTTTGAATTTTGAGAGTGTGCTGAGCGTGCCCATCACAAAAGAGCAGCGCTGTGGGGTGTGGTATAACAAAAGTTAGAGAGGCACCTGCCTGCAGCAACCTTACACTGAACCATGAGAAGTCAGTGATGTGCTGCTGCTGAAGATCACAATATTGATTTTACAGACACTGAGATGCTGTTGCCGTCCAATAGCAAAAGGAGGCCTTCATCATGTACGAAGTGGCCACATCATACTCATTTCACAGAAATTGCACAGAAGGATCTTGCACTTTGCACCATAATTCTCTTTGCAGGAAGGCTAGGGAGATACTTTTAAAAAATGAAATTTTGGAGTCTGGGACACCTGCCCAGGGACACCAGTGAGAGCCTTTGTAGATAACGGGTAACCAATTCCTAGGTTAATGCTATCAGACTAGAGGAAAACAAACCCTTCACTTTCTTAGGATTAGCCTTAACCAGTATGGCATCCCAGGCAAAAAATTGAAAATGTTCTTCTGCATTGCACCTGAAGTTTTACAGGCTTGTCAACATTGTTCCCAAGTAAATGTGGAAACTGATTTTGTTTAGATGCATCCATTATTGACACAATTGCCCATCTTCCTTTATACAAGTTGAATTAGGCCAGGTATAGGCAAACTCAGCCCTCCAGATGTTTTGGGACTATAACTCCCATCATTCCTAGCTAACAGGACCAGTAGTTAGGGATTATGGGAGTTGTAGTCCCAAAACATCTGGAGGGCCAAGTTTGCCTATGCCTGGTTTAGGTTCATAACTTCCCCCCCCAAAATATTTATTGGTTTTTACAATATTATAGACAAACAAACACACAAAACAAACAAACATACCAAACATAAATCATAACCTTATTAAAAATAACAGGTATTAACTTTGTAGAGCGACTTCCTCATTTCCCCTTAGTTGAATTTCATTGCATGTCCTTATAACGGTTTTCCAAATCCCAATTTTTATAAAATTTAACTTAAACATTTACATCTTTAAATCTTCTCCTTATAGTATTAAACATATTATTTTATCACTTAACATAAATACAATCCTAAGCCCATTAAATATCTGGAAACTATTTCCGGCTAGTTTAACTTAACAAATTTAGCTAAATAATCATTAAATTTATTCCATTCTTCCTGATATTCCTCCTCCTTCTGGTCGCGGACTTTTCCAGTTAGGTCGGCTAGCTCCGAAAAACCCATCATCTTCATCTGCCATTCTTCTACTGTTGGTAGTTCTTGAGTTTTCCACTTTTTAGCTAACAAAATACGAGCCACAGTTGTGGCATACAAAAATAATTTAACATCTTTCTTGGGCAGGTTTAGGTTCATAACTTTTGGGAGGCAAGACTTACACTGATTTCAGGCAACTACAGTACTGTAAACAAATATATATTTGCATATTTGAAGTCTGTCCTTGTGTTGAAATTGGTGTGAGATTCACTTGAGTAAACATGGGCTTCTGTGGACATTCTCTCCATCATTCATGACATGACAGCTGCCCAACCAAATTCTGGTTTTATAAAAATGGAGGGTCTTACTGTAGCTGTGACCAGGCTGGTGTCCTCTTAATCTACCAAAGTATCACCAAATCTAGTTAAGATTTCCTATTTTAATTCGGTTCCTGCCTCATGTGAAAAAGAAGTAAATCCCTTTCAGTTCCAAGGGGTTTACTACCAAGTAAGTGGGAACCCAACTGCAGCATTAGCTGTGTTGGTGGTTTTTAAGCATTAAAACAAAAGGTATGAAAAGGCAATGCTACTGAAAGGTGTATTCTGTGCCATGTTTTTTTACTGGGGGGGGGTTTCAAAATCATAAACTGCACTCTCCCACATTTAAGCTGCTGGAACGTGTGCAGAGGAGGGCAACAAAGGTGATCAAGGGTCTGGAAACCAAGCCTTATGAAGAACAGTTGAAGGAGCTGGGTATGTTTAGCCTGGAAAAGAGGAGATATGATAGCCATTGTCAAGTATCTCTAGGGCTGTCCCATGGAAGAGGGGAACAAGCTTGTTTTCTCCAGCCAATGGCTTCAAGAAAGGAGATTCAGACTAAACATCAGGAAGAACTTTCTGACGATAAGAACTCTTCTTGGACAGTGGAATGGGAGGTTGTGGACTCTCCTTCCTTGGAGGTTTTTAAGCAGAAGTTGGATGGCCATCTGTCATGGATGTCTGTAGCTGACCTCCTTTGCAATGTTTTATTTTGAAATCTTTTAAGATAATATTTTAGTTTTCTGTTATGTTGCTTTGATTGTATACTCTATATTTGACTTTCTTCAGATTGTTTTATTTTGGTTTTATTGATTTAATATGCTGTAAACTGCTTTGAGATTTTTCTTAAAAATATAAAGTGGTATTTTGTTGTTTAGTCGTGTCCGACTCTTCGTGACCCCATGGACCAGAGCACACCAGGCACTCCTGTCTTCCACTGCCTCCCGCAGTTTGGTCAAACTCATGCTGGTAGCTTTGAGAACACTGTCCAACCATCTCGTCCTCTGTCGTCCCCTTCTCCTTGTACCCTCCATCTTTCCCAACATCAGGGTCTTTTCCAGGGAGTCTTCTCTTCTCATGAGGTGGCCAAAATATTGGAGCCTCAGCTTCAGGATCTGTCCTTCCAGTGAGCACTCAGGGCTGATTTCCTTCAGAATGGATAGGATTGATCTTCTTGCAGTCCATGGGACTCTCCAGAGTCTCCTCCAGCACCATAATTCAAAAGCATCAATTCTTCGGCAATCAGCCTTCTTTATAGTCCAGCTCTCACTTCCATACATCACAACTGGGAAAACCATAGCTTTAGCTATACGGACCTTTGTTGGTCCAAACCCACTGCAATGCAGAAATCTCAACTGAAGCATGCATGCATGCGTTTGTTTGTTTGTTTGTTTGTTTATTTAAATTAAGTAAGTAAGTGAGTAAGTGGTATAGAAATTAAAATAAATAAATAAATAAATAAATGCTGAGATTTCTGCATTGCGGTGGGTTTGGGCCAGATGACCCTGGGGGTCCCTCCCAATTCTATGAAATTAAAATATACAGGGACTGGCAGACCTATCATAAGCCACACGATATTATGGATCGATTTTAGCAGAGCGAGCTCCCCCCCCCCCCGCACCCTTAGAAACACTTCTGTTCAAATAACGGTTCCCACGGTGCTGAGGCAGCTGCGCCTGCGCGACGGCATCACTCCCAAGCGGAGGCGAAAGGCGATTAATATCTCTCCCCCCTCGTCCCATTGGCCGGTTCCTTGGAGCCCCTTCCCTGATTGGGTGGAGATCAGGAAGCTCGCGCCCAGAGGCGAGCTGGGATAGGCCAGAGAGCGGGTGGGCGGTTATAGGCGGGACTCAGAAGGCGGTTATGGGCGGGACCGACGTTACGAGCGCCCTCCCTGGCGGACGGTGGCCGTTAAGGCCGGAGAAAAGCGAATGGCAACGGCGCTGCTGCGTAGTAACAGCCGGCGCCTCAGCCGTTTGTTGCCGGTGCCTGTTTCTCGCCCTTTCGGCAGCATGGAGGCCGCGGCTGCTGCTGCTGCTTCTCCCTCAGGCTCGGCCGCCGAAGCTGGTCTGTGGCTGGGGGCGCTTCGTTTCGACAACCGGGCGCTGCGGGCCCTGCCTCTGGACCCGAGCGAGGAGAACGTGCCCCGGCCCGTGTCGGGCGCCTGCTTCTCGCGGGTGCGGCCTACCCCGGTGCGCGGCCCTCGCCTGGTGGCCGCGTCCGCGCCGGCGCTGGAGCTGCTGGGCCTGAGGGAGCCTCGCGCGGCCGACGAGGAAGCCGAGGCGGCGCTCTACTTCAGCGGGAACCGGCTGCCTCCCGGCGCGGAGCCCGCCGCCCACTGCTACTGCGGCCACCAGTTCGGCAGCTTCGCCGGGCAGCTGGGCGACGGCGCGGCCGTCTACCTGGGCGAGGTGCTGAACCTGCGCGGCGAGCGCTGGGAGATCCAGCTCAAGGGAGCCGGCCTCACCCCTTTCTCCCGGTAAACCGCGAAGGCGCACGCCCAGCGAGAGGAGGGAGAGGGGAGTGGCAGAGACCGGCTCCCTTCTTTAATCCAGGAAGGGCCGGATTTACGTATACAGTGGTACCTCGGGTTAAGTACTTAATTTGTTCCGGAGGTCCGTACTTAACCTGAAACGGTTCTTAACCTGAAGCACCACTTTAGCTAATGGGGCCTCCTGCTGCTGCCGCGCCGCCGGAGCCCGATTTCTGTTCTTATCCTGAAGCACTATTTCTGAGTTAGCGGAGTGTGTAACCTGAAGCGTATGTAACCTGAAGCGTATGTAACCCGAGGTACCACTGTACGCTAAACAAGCTATAGCTTAGGGCCCCACTCTCTTGGGGGGCCCCCCAAAAGTTGAAATGTATTTCACTATTAATATACTTCTTCAAAATTGTATTTCAGTTCAACAATTGCTTTGATAAAATACATATTTCGTTATGTGCAAATGGCTTTAGATCCCTATTAAAGGTAAAGGGACCCCTGACCATTAGGTCCAGTTGTGACCGACTCTGGGGTTGCGACACTCATCTTTCTTGGCTGAGGGAGCCCGTGTACAGCTTCCGGGTCATGTGGCCAGCATGACTAAGCCGCTTCTGGTGAACCAGAGCAGCACACGGAAATGCTGTTTACCTTCCCGCAGGAGCGGTACCTATTTATCTACTTGCACTTTGACATGCTTCCAAATTGCTAAGTTGGTAGGAGCAGGGACCGAGCAACGGGAGCATAGCCCATCGCGGGGATTGGAACCGCCGACCTTCTGATCAGCAAGTCCTAGGCTCTGTGGTTTAACCCACAACGGTTATAGCATATATTCAACACAAAAAACAGTGACAATTTGTTGTTGACAAAGGACTGCTGGACATATAAAGGGCCCCATTACCTTCAGTAGTTTAGGGCCTC